ATCACCTTTTAGTTCTTAACTTACTTCCTCCTCCATGTTTCTACAACTGAAGAAGTTCATTAGCCTTTCAGGTGGTGTGTTGCAAAGCAGCTGGCAATGATCATGCCCTTTAAGTGGACTCAGAATTCTGCCAACAGGGTTAGTTCTGATGCTTACTATGTGCACTAACAAGGATGGCTCTGTCCCACAGCCACCCATTCATGCCCTCTCATCAATGAAGAAAGAGAAACACATGCCAAGATCTCGAAACCACATAGATGCAAAGGAGGAAGTGGGCAGGGTGGGAAAATAGAAAATTTGTATGGAAGACAGGAATTGTGATGAGAGGAAGAATTTCTGTAGGTCATAAGACTATTCTAAAAGTCATAATCCAGAGATAATTTTTATGGAGTATAGGAATGTATATATAAGAGAGGGAAAAGACTCTAGAATCCACCAAGATGTTCCCCTTAAAAAAAGATCCAAGTATATCTGAAAAAGTTCTCAAGAAGATTTAGACATATTCTACTACAAAGCAGTAATGATCAAAACCATTTGGTACAGGCTGAAAAACCAGAAAAGTTGATCAAGTCTTACAGACTACATAAGCAAGATCTAGAAGCAGTCAAACAAAATAGTAGCCTGGTGCTCTGTAAACCTGAGGTTACCTACTACTTGGGTAAGTACTTCCTATTAAAAAAAAAAAACTGTTAAAAAAAAAACTAAAATCATGTCTGAAACAACATATACAATCAATTCAGCAATAATGCTTGTTTTGAAAACATGAATTTGTTCCACTGTGACTGATATGTTAGGGAACATTTGAGCATAACATGAATTTTGCATTTCCTTATGCATGATTTTATACATGAAAAACACAAGGTGAATGAAGAAAAACTGTAACCAGCTGAACTGAGCTGCAGAGGAATACACAAAATACACACAAGCATATACCTCAAACATCTAGTAGCTACCTCAGTTCACTGTGTGTTGCCTTACAAGATTGTGTTTTGCTATTCATTCACAATTTTTTTAGCATTCCTATATAAAAAACACTCATCCAACATCCTAAATATGTGTAAGCATTCTAGTCCAAAAAATGCAAAGCAGTGTATTAAGGAGAAACTTGAAATAATAAAGCATTTTGGAAGAAACAAGAGAACATGTGACAATCTTCTGAACAGGCATAAAGAAATCCATATTGGGGCAGCTAGGTGGCGCAGTGGATACAGCACTGGCCCTTAAGTCAGGAGGACCTGAGTTCAAATCCGACCTCAGACCAAACACTTAACACTTACTAGCTATGTGACCCTGGGCAAGTCACTTAACCCCAATAGCCTTAAAAAAAAAAAAAAAGAAAGAAAGAAAGAAAGAAATCCATATTGCAGACCATCAGAGGCAACACTGAAAATAAATGTCTATGACTAGAAGTGTTCTTTCTGTTCCTATTCTCATTTTTCCTATAAGCCCTGTGTTTTTTATTAGGCAATTTTGCATAGCATGGTGATTTTTAGGAAAATACAGGCTATGTTATAGCAGAAGTGACTGAATAAGCTCCAATTGCATACATGACCTAAATATGAAAGACCACATCATTTAAAAAAAAAAAACTGGGAGGAGAATGTAAAGAGGTACCTTGCACAACCATAACTAGAGGAGAATTCTTTATTAAATAACGGACAGAGGTAAACATAAAAGATAAGATGGACAATTTCAACTACATAAAATTTAAAAGCTTTTACATGAATGAAATCAATGCAATTAGAATTAGAAGAAGAACAGTTAATTGGGGCAACCTGCGCCACAAATATGTCTAATAAAGGTCTGATATTCAAGATACATAAGACCAAGGGCAATAGTCTCACTTGAAAAGTTGCCAAAGTATTAAACAGACATTTTAAAAAAAATGAAAACTCTCAACAACCATGTGAAAGAATACTCCAAATCACCAATAAGAGAAAGGCAAATTTCAGTAACTTTGGTTTTACCTTACAGTCATCAGATTAAAAATATGAAAATGGCAAATGTTGGCAGGGCTAAGGGAAGACAGCCACAGTAATAGATTGTTGGTGGAGTTGTGAAATGACCCATCCATAATGGAAAACAATTTGGAATTATACCCAAAAAATTCATTTATAACTATACCAGTGAATCCAGTACTAGTTATACAACTTCCAAAATGTGACAGAAAGAAAATTAAAAACACACACACACACACACACACAACGCATAGATACACATACGTATACATATATAATAGCAAAGAAGTGGAAACAAAATGGGTGGCCACCAAGTGAGGAATGACAACAAATTACAGCGTATGAATGTAGCATAGGGAATGTGGTTCGCCTTAAGATTTCACTAACATAGGGAACTCCTGGGTGAAAGGACTTCTATCAACCAGGACTACACTGTCTTGGCAGCTCATAGTTCCTGGAGCAAGGGTTCTTAATCTGAGTTCCACAGACCCCAAGGAGTCCACAGATACACATGGGGGGGGGGGTCCAAAAACTTGGATGGGAAAAAAATTACACCTTTATCTAAATATAGTTTATTTCCTTTCTATTCTTAATAGTACAGATGAAGAAACTGAAGTCCAGCAAAGTTAAATAACTTATCCAAAATCACCCAAGTAGTGACCACAAGAAACAGGATTTGAATCAAGGTCCTCTTCCCTAGGGGTCAGTAATCTTTCCAATGTTTGTACCAGGATGTGGCAATAAAATATGAAGGGCAGTGGCAATAAAAAGTGACAGTGAGTTCTAAAAATGGTATCAATAAAACAGGATGTGACATCCCATTTTCTACTTTAAAAAAAGGAGGGAGGCAGGAGGGAATGGACGACCAGGCTCAGGTTCCAGCTCTTCTCCCATCAGTGGAAAAGTGACTTTGTTTTTCTGGACTTCAGTTTCCTCCTCATAAAAGAAATAATTGAAGTTAATAATCTAACGTCCCTTCCAGGTCCAACATTCCATTAAAAAAAATCAGCCTTTGGAATGAGAGTATTGTTTTCTTAGTACTCAATCACTCTGCCTTCTACATTTATCCCAACCAGGATAAAATAGGCTTAGAGGAATGTGAAGGGTTAACGATGTCTACCCAGCACCTACTTAAGCTACTACACTCACTGCCAAGAAGGAGATCATTAGGTAGATAGGAGCTATAACTCTGGTAGATCTGGCAGATCTAAGGTAGATTAAGAAAGGGGGGCAGGAAGAGCAGGTTGGATAAAGTGCCAGCACAGAACAGATTTTGGAAAGAGGTCACAATTAAAAGTTGTACATGACATAAACATCGCTCTCCAGAACGATCTCTTGTCTTCACTCTGCCAGGGACATGCAGACTCTCAGTATATTACCAAGTAGGCTGCTAAGCCTCTCAGGCATGTCTTTTTCCTTAGCTTAGATCAATAATTCTTAACCCTTTCCGTGTCACAGACTGGTGTGGCTGTCTGATGCAGCTTAACATTATCCTGTTTTGTTGCTTAAATTCATACTAGAAGGAAATATTAAATTTCAATTACAGGTCAATGAAAATAAAGATGTAAATTTTTCCCCATTCAAGTTCACAGACACTTTTCCTTAAAATTTATCTTATAACTATGGGAGCTCCATGAACTCCAGGTTAAGAACCTTTACCTCAGATCTGGGGCAGCTAGGTGGCACAGTGGATAAAGTGCTCACCTGGAGACAGGAAGATATCTTCCTGAATTCAAATCTGGCCTCAGACACTTACTAGCTGTGGGACCCTGGACATCACTTAAACCTTCAGTTTCTTCATCTGTAAAATGAACTAAAGAAGGAAATGGTAAACTACTCCAGAATCTTTGCCAAGAAAACCCCAAATGGGTTCACAAAGAGTCAGACACAACTGAAAATGACTGAACAACAACTACCTTAGATCTACCAGAATCATAGCTCCTATCTACCTAAGGAAGGACATGGCTTACTGTATACACAAATGCTTTAGGAAAGGGGCAAGCTGTTGATAGAACTGAGTTTTCCAGGTGTTTCCTTATTCCCCCTTGATAAAATGGCAAATAGGCGATGAAGCTTCTGAATATTCAGCTACTCTAATGAAAGGGACATTTCAATTTCTTGATGATTCTTACCACCTGTTGTCTCACTTTGTTCCATTTGTCTTCTTTTAGGCTGTGAGCTACTGGGCCAAGAAACAGTCTCACCTATGTTTGAATCACTACAGCATTCCACTGGGCTCTAAAGGACTTTAAAGTAATAACATCCAACATCTACACGTTTTTCAGTCACTTCAGTTGAGACTAGAAAATACAGCTTCTGTAAGGAAAGCTCCAATTCAAAATAAGCCCCAGACCCAGGAGAAAGAAGAGGGACTCAATTTCCTGTTAATTTGCTCACTTCCTCTATTCAATTAAACCTAGAGGCTTCAAATTCACCAGTAAAGGATGTATCAGAAATAATACAAGGAATAGCTTATAAGCTCTGTCTTTCAGAAAGTCACTGAACTTTCACTATAGTCTGCCTATTGATATTAAATCCTCTTCTCTCCGAGGGTTATTATGTGAAAAGCACTTTGTGAATATTAAACTACTAAATAAATCAGGAAGCCTGTTCTAAGACGTATATGACACAGGTTTTGAAAATAAAAGTCATGGCAAGGAATAGCAGCAGACTCTGCTGTCATGCCACACCATAGGGCAGGAGTGGGGAACCTGCGGCCGCATGGCCACACGTGGCCCTCTAGGTCCTCAAGTGCAGCCCTTTGACTGAATCCAAACTTCACAGAACAAATTCCCTTAATAAAAAGGATTTGCTCCGTAAAACTTGGACTCAGTCAAAAGTCCGTACCCAAGGACCTAGAAGGCCACCTCGAGGCCACAGATTCTCCACCCCCACTATAGGGGATACCCTGTTTAAACAAGCTGCTCTGTCCCCAAAAATATCTAGCCTTCATGCTTCTCTTCTGTTCTTGTCACATACTTACAAAAACCTTTTATGACATTCCCCCCATGAAAAATTAAAAAAAAAATTAAACCCTCTTACCTTTTGTTTTTCCCTCTAACGGTCCTAGCCTCTTCGTTTCTGCTGTTAGCAATAGCTCATAAGGATGCTCATCTTCCTCCTTGGGTGCACTCCCCTGGCTCCTACCTCTCCTGACTGGGACCTAATGAAGAATAACACCATAATGTACTGTACTTCCTGGACAGCCATTTAAAGCAAAAATGAAAAATTCTAGCTAACTGTCCTCCTTTTTCATGCAAGGCAAAGGGGAAGGGGGACATTGAGAAAGATGATATGAGCATGTAACTAGGAATCACTACTAGGCAACTTATCTAAATGCATCAAATCTCTCGATGGCCTTTCATGAACTCTTTTTTGACTTTGCATCAATTTACTAATGTAAAAGACGGAGAAAAAAGCTCTTTCACGGTTTCCCACATCAAGAATAATACAAAGGTTTTGTTTTGTATTCTGTGTGTGTCTACAAATTATGAGAGATTTTTGGCCATGATGCATTATCCAGGTCATCTTCCCCCAGTTCAGACCTGATATGCAGACATACTATTCAATGGATAGAAATCTGCCCTGTTTGGAACAAAACTGACTTGCATGGAATCTTGGCATTTATTGAAAACACAGCAGTTTGTTCTGTAGCCCTTCCTTTCCAAACACTTTGGAAATTACAAACCCTTTTTCCACATATCCTGGGGAGCTCCATTGGACAAGGGAAGAAGCTTTCCAAGAGCCAATTTTCTCTCTCTTCCATAAAAGTATAGACTTAAAAGTCTCAGTTTTTCCACTTAGCATCTTTATTTAACATCTTTAAAGTGGACGAAGGGAGACAAATAGAAGAGAAAAGACTCATAAAAGGCCTGTGTGACCTAGGCAAGTCACTTAACCTAAGGCATAATTTCCTCATATGTAAAATGGGAATACTACTTGCTCTTCCTACCTCAGTGAGTTGTTACGAGGATCAAATAGATAGATTATATATGTAAAGTGCTTTGTGGACTATAAGATGCTATGTAAATGTCACTTGTTATTTATCTATTTTGAACAACTTTAGCTGCTACTACCTAATGTAAGCTTGGGTAGAAGAGTAAATTAAACAGTAGTTAGAACTGATAAAGTCAGCAAAATGCTTCTGATTAATTTATAAAGCAAAAGCCAGCTCCTAGAACTTCGATCTGAAATGGTTTGCCACTTGTGGACCTAACCACTAGAGCTAGTTTTTGTACTATAGCTTCAGTCTAAAATAAGTCAGAAATACTAAAGAGACAGAGAGAGAGAGACAGACAGACAGACACACATACACACAAACACAAACACACACACACACACACACACACACACACAAGACAGAGAGATAAAAGAGGAGATCCAAGGAGACAGAGAAAGAGAAAGCATCCAGGAAAAGAGAGATAGAGAAGGGCAGTAAAGATAGCATCTGTGATGTTAGTGATACTGATATACTGGGAGTAATATCAACATCAATGAAAGTTAGGCTAGTTTTTCCTTGAAGGGACTGAGACATTCCTCAAGACTTGGTTGGCTCAGGGGACTAAGGACTCAGAATACTGACTTACTTCCTCACCACCTGACTACAAAAACCACTCTTAGAAAACTTAGAGGAAGAGGTGGGGTAGTAAAAAGAGTGTTTCAGATGCCTGGCTGGTAGATGGAACATTGATGGGAGTTGTTCTTCAGTTGGATCAATTCAAGGTGTCTCCAGTTTTGTTGAATATCCTTCTCCTGCTATTGCTCTTTTTGTTAACTATTGAATAATCTACGAATGTCTCATTTTGTTCCAATATCAAACCCAACAACTACCAGGGACTGGTCTGAGTCAGGCCTTGTCCAGGAAAATAGAGGTTCGAGTCCTGGCTCCGATATATAATGGCTATGGGAACCCTGGGCAAGTCACTTAGCATGGAGGACCCTAAAGCAACCATGAGGTACAAAGAAGGTGCTGACCCATATTGATAGTATGAGTTTCCTCAGCTGGGTATTCCTTCACAGGACCAGTCCTAAATGTCTGTCTGTCTGTCTGTCTGTCTCTCTCTCTCACACGCACGCACGCACGCACACACACACACGCACGCACGCAGTGAGCCTCAGACTTTGGTCAATCTTAGCCCTAGGGAGTATCGAGAATTCTTTTACATAATTTCTGCCACTACTTGATGATTTGGCCACCTGGCCACCAGTTTAGGACCAAGACCCAGATAGCGTGGGCCTCCTGCTACCCGTCCTGCTGTGTCACCCTCAACTGACCACCCTATATTACAGTTTCGTTTAAAACCACAATATAGAGCTCACAAATTCCATCTGGGCAGTTAGGGCAACAGAGCTTCTTTTCACTGCATGCCTGGCATTGATGTAGAATGTGATGAATCACAGAATCATCACACATTTAACCCACCACCTCATTTGCACTAGATAGCAGTATGTCCAAAGCAAATAAAAAGCCCTTTCTTTCCTTTTCTTTCCTAAGACAAAAAAGACACATACCTTTCCTCTCTATCCTATTCCCTATCTAGACATTGATCACTTCATCCATAAAACTAGGGGACTATGACCAATGGCAAATAGGAGCAGGTATCAATGAAGAAAATCATTAACTTACTCTAGTGCTAATTGGCCTACTTCTAGTACTCGAATGCTGTGGACTCTAGCTGGACCTAAAGAAGGCAGCAGTCTATTTGGCAATAAAAGGATTTTTCCCTTTAAAAATGTATAGCTTCATTATGATCTGGTTATTAATCTAATAAACTCTCCTGGTGACAAAACAGTGTTATCTCATCTCCATAGCCAACAACAAGTCAGCTAATTAATGACAAACATCAAGAATAGGGACATAAATTGAGGGATAGGTTAGAGGTAGAGAGAAGCATTGTGGCTGTACCTACATGTGTCCCAACTAGGGACTAAGCAGTTGTGGTCAGAGTCTAAAGTAAAGTCATCTTAAGCCAGGTAACCAAAATGGGAGCAGAAAAAATAGGAAGGAATCAGTGACAGAGAGGACACAATCTCAACATTTTAGGTTCTTATGCATGGCGCCATCTTTTATGCCAGGGTGGCATGCTAACTATGCAGCCCCACACTGCTAAACAAAGAGCAACTGTGGACAAACAATAGCTGTGTGTTCCCTTGTGGTTCAGCCTATCCAATCTCCTCGTATGTCTTTCCAGGCCCTGGGGCCTTGCCCTAATGGGACATTATCAGAAGACTTCTATGAACTGTGCAGTTGCACAGGTTTTGGGTGAAATTTCCAAGGCCTTGGGGGCAGCTAGGTGGCGCAGTAGATAGAGCACTGGCCCTGAAGTCAGGAAGACCTGAGTTTAAATCCAGCCTCAGACAAACCACTTAACATTTACTAGCTGTGTGATCCTGGGTAAGTCACTGAACCCCAATTACCTTAAAAAAAAAAAAGAAAAAAAGAAAAGAAATTTCCAAGGTCTTTCACCAAGTTCATGATCATTCCAATCTACCAGGAATTAGCATCGATGTTAATTACTGTGATCTTCTCTTGCTAATCCAACAGCCAACAGAAATGCAGGAACTTTAGGGTGAGGGATCAGCAAGTTCAGGTCAAAATGAATTTGTTATCCCAATAGTTTGGGTCTTTGGGATCACTACAAAGCACTAAGCTCCAGTCGTCCTGATTTATATCTGGCCACTGAACCCAGATGGCTCTGGAGGACAAAGTAAGGCTGGTGACTTTGCACAGCCCTCCCTCATTTAAATCCAATTCACTTGCAAGTCATGGCATCACCTTCCTGATGTCAAGGTCCTCTTCAAGAATGAAGGGGGAAGCTAGGTGGTACAGTAGATAAGAGTTTTGACCTTGGAGTCAAGAGGACCTGAGTTCAAACCTGGCCTCAGACACTTGACACTTACTAGCTGCATGACCCTGGGAAAGTCACTTAACCCCAATTGCCCCCACACACACACACACACAAAAGAATGAAGGACAAACCACAACAACAATAAAACGCTAGGCTACCTGGCTTGTTTAGTTCTGCATGTTATGTGCCTAATCAGATACAATGATTAATCTCCACATTTCTTAACCTATACCAAATAGTTTTGGCAATTACTATTTTGTACTATAATTTGAGATCTGACATTGTTAAGCCCCATTCTTTACTATATTTTTTTCATTATTTTGAATTTTTTATCTTTTTCCCCCTTTACTCCAGATGAATTTCACTGTTATTTTTTTCTAGCTCAAAGTAATCCTTTGGTTATCTGATTGATATAACTCTGAATAAGTAAATTAACTTAGCTAGTATTGTAACTTTTTATTATATTGGCTCAGTTTGTCCTTAATATTTCTCCAATTATTACATAAAGAGGATTTTGCAGTTATATTCATGTAGTTTTTGTGTGTCTCCATAGATAAAATCTCAAGTATTCTATATATTTTGTTGGTTTTTTAAATAAAAGTTTTATCTTTTCCTTGAGTTTCATTGGAAATACAAAAAAAATTGATGATTTATGTGGAGAAATTTTACATCCTGAAATTTTGCTGAAGTTATAGTTTCAATTGATTTTTAGTTGACTCTAAAGGATTCTTGAAGTACATCATTACATGAGCTACAAAAGCGGTGATTTTGTTTCTTCTTTGTCTATACTTATTCCCTTAATTATACCCTATCGACCCAGAGTTATTACTACTAGGCTCTATACCCATCAAAGAAATCAAAGAAAGAGGAAAAGGACCCATATACATGAACATATTAATAGCAGCTCTTTATATAATAGCAAAGAACAGGAAATTAAAGACAGTTCATCCATTGTGGAATGGCTGAACAAATTATGGTATATGAATATAATGGAATGCTATTGTGCCTCAAGAAATGCTGATGGGGATTATTTCAAAGAAATCTAGAAAGATTTGCATGAATCTATACAGAGTGAAGTGAAAACCAGGAGAACAATTTATACAATAACAACAACAATGGGAAAGCAACTTTCAAAGCAATAAAAATTCTGGTCAAAACAATGAACAACTATGATCCCAGAAAACCAGTGAGGAGGCATGCGACCCACCTGCAGATAGAGAGGTAAAGGACTCAGAGTAGAAACTAAGAGGTATTTTAGGGCCATTACCAATGTGGAAATTTGTTTTGCTTAATAATTATGTGTACATGATATAAA